GGTTTTGGTACTGAAGCATAAGTACTTCATTACACCCATTCCTACTAAACCTCATCTAAGTTTATACATTGAATTCTCTCACGTTTTCTGAAGCATCAGTAAAGCCACTAAGCTGGAATTGTATACAATCTGAAAATACAACCCATCTCTTCTATTTCCAAACCATTGAAAAAGATACTTGAAATCCATTTGGGACACAAGGTTTCAAGTCCCCCTAGAGCTGCTGCAAGCCCATGGTGCTGCTGTTGGCAAACTAAAAAAAGTTGCCCCTTCCTGAGGGCAGATGCAACCCTGGGCTGGTGCACATGGAGGGGGAGCAAAGATGGGCTGTGTTCAGACCCCACTGACCCCTGCAACTGGGCCCCATTGTGCAAAGATGACTTACCATTAATCAGGTTGCAAAGACCCTTTTAATCTTCGTGGGCTACAAGGGAAGGTCTAGTTTGAGCCTTTCGTTAGGCACATCTGATAAAGGCCAAAGATTCAGGAGAACTGAGTTAAATTTCAACTCAGTGAAATTTTAAAGTTTAAACTCAATCAGATACATCTGAATTTATGGAGCTAGTATACTGTAGTTGAATGTTTTGGAGGTGGACAGAAATAGATTTTAATTCCAGCCTGGCCACTTTGGAGGCCACCTCACCGAAACTCCATTTTTTAAAAGTCTGCAAAATAATGATAATACCACATTTCATAGATCTAGACAACATCAATTGTAAGACTCATCCTCATTACCGAGGACATGAAAAAATGGGCAAATGGGATGGTCAAATGTCTCCTGACTTCAGAGGTGTTAAGACTGTAGGAATTGTGTATATGAGAACCTATGGCATATGGTAATATCCACCCCCACCCCTTCCAGGTAATAACTGCTGTTTGTAAGGATTAAATGAGAGAACATATGTCAAGGTCTTGGCTCCGGCCAGAGTCAGTGCTCAATAAATGGGGGAAGCTGTTTGTGGCGGGGATGTTATTCAGTGCCGGAGGCAGACAGTAACAAAAGAATGTATTTGATTCAGGTCTTCATAATCTAGCAAAATGACCTGATGTCCTCTTTTCCCTACTCTCCTACTCAGGATAAGATACTAGAAGCCAATATGCACAAGGGAGATCCAGAGGAAACATCAAAGGAAGACGGGAGTACAGAAAATGCACAGAACTGAGAAGGAGTCCTATTTATTCAGCTGATTGAGACCCAGATCTGAGCAATGCTTTCCCCAAATCCCAAAGGTACAAGAGAAACATTGTTAAGAGTGCCTTGTTCAAATGGTGGGTTGGAGGCCTTCTTTGGATCTGGAGTAGGAGAAAGCTTCCCAAATACTTTATTAGCTCTTCTAATGTTTGCTTGTTTGTCTTCTCTCACTAACAGCTACTTCTATTACATTTCCTGTGGTTTTTTTAATTGATCACCTATTGACTCACTAGTGAAAACCCTTGTGTGCAGCATCCTGTGATGCTGGCCTTCATTTAGGCTCGGAGGGGTCTGTGCAGAATGAAGAGGTGCCAAGAGGCGCCAGTCAATCTCTTTCACCCGCTTCCAAAGCAGCTGGTTCCTGGACTGGCCCAGGAGTGGGCCTTCTGCCAAAGAACAGCCATTCGTTGTCCTTTGTTGCCAAAGACAGTGCGGCTGGTGGTAGAATACTGATGTAGACGAAAGTATGCTAAACTCCAATAAGTGAAAAATGGCCTGGTTTATGCCACTGCCCCTAAAGTAGCCCATTTTTTCCCCCACTGTTTGGGCTCAATGGCATTTTTAGAGATATGATGAATGGAAGCAGGGTGTATACGAATGTGTTCAAAACACAGACCATGTGATAAAAAGCCGCCAGAGTGTCTTGTGTGTGGGTCGGGCCCATAGAATGGAAATGGCTCTGCTCTGGAAACAAAGACTTGTTTTTCAGGAAGATGCTAAATTGGTTGTTTTTTCCCTTTCTGATTTCAGCTGGAGTTTGTGGTAAGAGTTTACTTACCTAGTTTGGGCTGGCTTGTTATAAGCAACGGGAATATTATGGTAGTTTTGGTTGACTGATTAAGCCATGTAAAAATCAGAGATGTGGTTACTACGGAACTGATGGTTGCTAGGGACTTTTGAGAATGAAACTCAAGTGGCAGCTTTAGATCACAGTGTCAGAGAAAAACCAAATTACCTTTTCAAAGGAAAACTGAGAAGATAGCGGCAACCTGAACTTTAAACATGCGGGCTGGTTGAGCTGTAGTTCATAAGCACAGCTTTCATTTCCTCTCTGTAGGCCAATTGCATGTGCATCCACACTTCTTCCTCAGGGTCCACAGGCAGGATGTGGTGCAGTTGGAGAGTGGAGTGGAGCCACTATCCCACACATGGGATGGCATATCCCTACCGTGCTCCCACTCCTGACTCTTAGCTGCACTAAATCTAAGATTGTGGTCATGGGGGAATATAAATTCCACTTGATTTAATTTCTCCCTAGGAAAGATGCACTCAGAAATGTCATAAATCTCCTGAAACCAGTTTCCTTCAAGGTTGTCTTGGAAATTTTCAATGTATGTATGAGTTTTACCTTGTACCTCCTTAATTTTAACCTTGTGTCTGAGGCGCAGTGGTGGTGGGCTACTCCCTGTGGTTGAGCACCGTGGGGGGGCCGTTCAGTAAGGACTTCTGACCAGGTCCCCTTGAATCCAGAGCACATTGGAAAGTTGGGTGGGCAGGCACAGGTCTTAGTTTTTTTGCACTGATTTGCATAAAGTGACTTTATTAGCACCTCTGAACCAGTCACTTTCTTGGTAGCAATGGACACTTGAGCTTAAACACTGGTAGGAACTCTACTTGTTATTATCCCAAAGAAACAAAGGTCTACTGGCCCAGGACTGCTGCTGGCACATTTGGGCCCTGTGTGTGTGAATCACAGACCTCCCCTCTGGGACACGCCTACCAGCCCCCACACCCTCGGCCTTGGCTCTCAGGCAGGGCACAACCCTCACAGCTGTAGGGCAGCCTCTGACTTGCCTCATCTTAAGAAAGTGGGAAACTGGATCCATCAACATACATTATTACACCAAAATTATGGAGAATTTAGAATTACTTGTGGCAACAACCTGTTGTACCCAGAGAGAAAAACTAAGTGTATTAGTAGGGAACAGTATCATGTTGATTTAAAGAGTTAGATATTTTTCAAGAGCAAAACTTTATATTACTTTCTGGGGAGAAGCAACTTGTAAAAGGTCTGGCCCTCTTATCCCCCTGAAGGAGGAACACACCACTGGGGTCTCTGAGTCAGGCAATAGTGCAGAGCTGGCCCTGGACCCACTGTAGCTCATTCCCCCTCCCTGCCCTGCTTCACCTTCCTTCCAGGTCCCCAGCTGGGTGGGCCAGCCCTGCCCTGCTGCTGGGATGGGCTGCCCCTCTGCAGGTTCTGTTTTCTTACCCGAAGCTCTGTGAATTGGGTCTTGGTCTAGAATCAATTTCCTTATTGGTTTGGGTCACTGACTCCTCTGAGAATCAGATAAGCTATGGATGTTACCTCCAGAATGATGTGCATATTCCTAACCCCCATTTTTTTAACACAGTTTTAGGGGGTTTGGGAATCCAGGCCAAGAGAAGAGTTTGTACTCTTTTTCTTTGTCTTTTTTTCCCCCAGGCATCCTTCTGGCAATTGGGTGAAACTATAGGCCCCCCTTCAGAATGATGGTTTCAGGTGCATAAAGCAAAAAACATAGGATTTTAAGATAAATGAATCATGTTGAAATAGTTCTCAAAACCTAAAAACTTTCTGTGATACAGAAATATCTTTGGGCTTTTATATAAATTAGAATGATGGTTTCAGGTGCATAAAGCAAAAAACATAGGATTTTAAGATAAATGAATCATGTTGAAATAGTTCTCAAAACCTAAAAACTTTCTGTGATACAGAAATATCTTTGGGCTTTTATATAAATGCATTAAATAGTAAAAGATATAATGGTGAATTCATAACTATGGTAATTTTGAAGTACTGATGAGCATAAGAGATATTTATGATGTCTGCCACACTGTGCTATGAAATGAAAATGTCTGTGATTTCCCCTGGTGACAGGGGCTGCTAGAGCTACTGAGGCCCGCAGCCTACATTCATCAAAGGTAATGCTAAATCGCAGTTAGAGGTTGGTGGAAACAAAGGCCCATTTTTCTCCTAAGTTACTAGACTTTAGATTAAGAACCTCTGAGACTCCAGAGATTCTGGACATGGTGCTGGGCATGGCTCAGGGCCTGGCTGCCTAAGGCTGCAGCAGAGACTGTGTGGCTCCTGTTTAAAGACTGTCGTGATTTCCACATTCCGCAGGAATATGAGACACTCCTGGTGGCTTCTTTCTGTCCTCACTTATGAGGGGAGTCAGCTGTGAACAAGTAGTAACGTCCGCCTTTGGTAGCCAGAGGCAAAGACACACGGGACTTGTCTGTGAACCTGCTCCTGCCTGGGAGACACGTCCCTGGCGTTGTCTAGCTAACACGAAGGGAACATCTTACTCTCGCATTGACAAAGATATGAAGTCGCTTTTAGTGAGTTTGCCTCTTGTCTTAACCTCACCTTTCCAGGGATGCCCTCCTAAGTGGGGGAACTCTTGGGCAGACTGAGCCCTGGGAGCACATGGGTGAGCATTTTTCTCCTCACCCACCCACCATCTCACGGCATGGCGCTGGAAAATGCTGACTGTAAGCTTTGGCAGGTGTTAAAGGCCATCATGGCATTTGAAAATAGGAAATAGCACTGTAATCATGAGGTTATGACCCGTGGAGCTATTGAAAACATCAGGAAAGCAAAACTGTCTCATTGGGATGCTAGAGCTCAGGCCTGCATGAGGATGAAAAGTTCTAGACAAAAGAAATTACTTTTCCTGATGGATGGCAGGTGAGATGACAAACTTCCAAGGACAGGCATTCTCTAAGAGGCCTCCCTGGCAGGGTTCACACCGGGCTTCATGGCTTTTTGGAGGCACATATGACCTGATGTTCACCAGGAAAACGGTCTGTGAAAGAGGCCCACAGAGGAACTTCTGCTTACCAATTTTACTTCTTGCTTCATTTAAACTCTCTCCCAGAGCCTTTGCTTCAGAAAATCTGCAGGAAAAAAAAAAAAAAGAAAAGAAAGAAAAAAGAAATGAGAACTTACTTTTTTCTGTCCATCCTAAATTATGTCTTAAAAAATAGATTTCTGAGAATTCTCCAAAATGTTAGAAAGCTTTACAAGACATTAAAAAAATCTAGGTAAATGAAATAAATGAGGCTTACAAATAGAGATAAAATGTGTATGAATTACATGAATTGGTATCATAAATTTTTACTCCCCATCCAGCAAAGGATTTTCATTCTCAGATTCTCTAACTGACAACATTTGACTTCTAGTGTTTTATAATGCAAGGCTACCAGGATAAAACATGGCCAGAAGCCCTCTATACTGTGCTGTGTTCTGTTAACCAGCGTGCCAAGACCCTATAGCTGTACTCAAAGAGTTTGCACTTAATAAGACTTAAATAACTATTTTTCCTGATCATAAAGCAGTATGTTAGAGGGCGAGGAGCTTTGGTTGGTCATGAGGCCATCCAGCCCGTTACTGGATTCTGTACCCGGGTTGTGCTGGAATGCAGCCTGGCCCATTCATTCAGATGTTGTCCATGGCTGCTTTGCTACACTGGCAGAGTTGAGTCCATGTGATGGAGAATGTGTAAGCCTGCAAATCTGAAATATTCACTATCTGATTCTTTATAGAAAAAGTTCACTGACTCCTATTATAAGTGATATTAAACCTTGTTTTAAAAACATGAAAGCAAGCCAAAAAACCCCAAAAAACCTTACAATCCTCTACTCAGAAACAAACATATTTTTGAGATCCTCCAGTGTTTTTTCTAGCCAGTTTTAACAGTTAGAATCATACCCTACATAAGATTTGGAGCTTTGATCTTTTTTCGCTTAGCATTATAATACAAGTACTTCCCTATGTCATTAGAAACTTGACTATTATCATCGATGGCTGCCTACTCGTCCACCAGATGGCTGTGTTGAAGTTTACTTAATGATTTCTCTGTATTTTCCGACAAGTGTTTAGGGGATGCCCACTGAGAGCCCAGCCTGGTGCTGCAGAGGCATGTAGAATATGGCCTGTGCGAGAAACATGCCGTCCAGTCCCCTACACACAGTGGGCCCTTGAGAATGCCAATCTTCCCCTTCTTCTCCTTTCTGCCATGGCACTTAAGGGACAGCTGAAAATCTATGAAGCAAATACATACCATGGTGGTGGCAAATCACTGCTACTGCGGACAGCACAGGCCATGCCATCAGAGTCTGCCTAGGGAGGGGCCTGCCCCTGAGTGGAGAGGAGTCGGGAAGGCTTCATATACAAGGTAGGATTGACCTGGGCTTTATGGATGCATAGGAATTTTTAGAAAACTTTTTACTGTGGAAATTTCCAAATATACACTAAATAGAATAATAGAATGAACCCTCACACACCCACCTTCATATTCTGTCAGTTGTCAACACTTGGCCAATTTGATTTTAACTGTCTTGTTTCTCCCCATCCTCTCCCCCTACAGGCCCCCAAGTCTTTCAGGATCCCAGTAAATCCCATATTTTTCATCTATAAAACTTAGTTGTATAGGATTTTATTAGAGGAAGTGGGGAGAGGAGGGCACTCCAGGCCGGGGAACCACACAAGCGAAGGCCAGAGTGCCACAACTGCTCTGTGCGTGATGGAAAAGAAGTGTGAACTCTGCCGCTGCTATTTTCCAAATCTGTCTGCTTGGCCTCTGACTACAGACAGGAAGTTTCCATGGAAGGGACTAAATTTTGTCCCAATTTTGGTTTCTTGGGACTCCACCCGTGGCTCCCTTAGTAAGGATGTTGAGGTTCATTGTAGATTATGTATGTCCTCTCTTCAGCCAGGGCCTGTCATCTTCTGGAGAAAAGTGCAGTTCGTTTGGTGCCATTCACATTGAATTCAGGTCAGCAGATATTTGTATGGCATGTTTGTCACTGTGCTGGGCTCTGTGACTCACACGGGCCTTTGTCTGCTGGGCAGGCAGAATCTGAGGTCTGGTCCAGGCCACTCAGAACACGAGGACTATCTTCATACTGAAGTTCTGCCAGGTGGGGACTGTAGCTGTCTGTTGCTGTGTCCAACCCTGGTGTCTAGGGTGGGATAGTCCTTCACTGCTCAATGAATGACCCTCCTTTCGCCTGTTTCATAGAGTTCTGGAAGCTCAAGGTTCTCAGTAATAAGGACAAATACAAGAGCAAGATTGCAAAGCTGCTGAAGTTCATGTCAGTGCTGAAGGAAACCAGAGTGGAGGTGGAAAAGGGGACACACTGCAGGTAGAGCAGGCAATCTCCATGCAGCTCTGCTCAGAGAAGGCCCAGAAGGCCTCGGATGCAGCCCTCAGCCTTGGCGGTACCCAGATGTGTCCAGGGGGCATGAGAGGGAGCGGCTTAGTGCTGTGGGCAGCCCTCTCCAGAAGGCCACCCTGTACCAGGGCTGGCAGACGCTGTGGGAGAAGCCACGAGCTGTTCCTGTCTCTGCAGCCCAGTGCTGAGCTAAAAAAGGGCTTTTCCACTGAAGAAGTGGGGGCTGAGGGCTGTCCTGTCTTCATGAGACCGTTTTCCCTTCACTGTGCAGTTGTCACCACTCCAGGCCACCCCACCCACATGTGTTCCTGATCTTTGGTTGTCAAGACAAACTCTTGACTCAGGAAGCCCAGCCCTGAGGGAGGCGGGAGGGAAGAGGGAGAAGGTGGTGCCCATTGCTGCCAGGCCTGCCTTGCCCACCCTGCGTCTCCGTGCTTTCCAGCCCAAGTCTCCTTCAGTCCCACTGAGACCCCTTCCCTTGCCCCCGGTCTAAGTTCTCCTCATCAGGAGGGGAGTCTCCTGACTCCGGCCTGACCTTCTAAGAGGCATATTCCCAGTAATGATGTGGTTCAGGGAGCAACCTGCATCCCAGGTGGTTGTCCCCGCATCAGGGAGGTGGTGCCTTGCGGAAGGCCAGGGGAGGGCTCCTGGGTCAGTGGCGGTGTGGCTCATTTTGGGGAGGGTGGCGGAGTTGGGGGCCGTTCCAGTGCTGGCGCTGGACAGCTCTCTGTCCCCCACACAGAAAGATCTCCCCTTGGGGCAAGGCCTGGGTTTGGAAGGGAGAAGGGATGCAGTGCCATGGCTGCTCTGCCTCGGCCTGGCCTCTCGTGACACCCAGCCTTCACCGACCCAGCAGCGCCCCTGCACACCGGGCACCTCACCCGACACTGGCCGTGGAGGGGGAGCAAGTGCTGCCTGGCTCCCAGGTCACATCACCCACCTCGCCGGTCCCTCCCCTTCTCTCCCCAGCTGCTCCTTCTCAGCCTCCCTTTGGCCTCTCCGTCTGCAGCTCGTTCCTCATGTGTTGGTAATTGCCAGGGCTTTGTCGTAAGCACTCTGTGTCTGTTAGTCTGTTATCTCTGCTCTCTGGGCCTTCCATTCACACCAGTGCCTCCATTCACCACTTCTACTGTCACCTCCCAAATCGCCATCTCAGTCCTGCTTTATTTCCCAGTCCATGGATCCAACTGCCTATTTGAAGCCCTGGGATAACTAAAAGTCACTGTATCCAAAGCAGGACTGGCTGACCTCCCCGGGAGTTCTCCACTCCCTCCCATATTTCCTCATCTCCCTGCAGGGCGCCAGCACCCAGCATGTGCTCAGGCCCAGGACCTTATGCCATCCTCTGCCCCTCTCCGTCCAGCTGCTCCCCACAATCCTGGAGGCCCATTCACACTGCATCCTCCACATCTATCATAACATTCCACTTAGTTTCAATCAGATTCCACCTGCCTTAGAGAAGAAGTTGTCATCCCTTCCAGATTACTTCAACAACTGCTAGGGAGGCTCTCTGCACTCATGCTGCCTGCCTTCCAGCCATTTTCCACAGAGCCTTTTTAAATGCAAACCTGATCTTGTTATTCTCCTGCTTGAAACTCTCCAAGGGCTCCCCAGTGACCTCAGCACAAAGTCCAAATGCCTTCACCTGCTAACTAGACTCTTCCTGCTCTGGCTCCTGCTGGCGTCTCCAGATCCTTCTCTCACACTCCTGCACTGCATCCAGTTCTGTGAGGTGTCACCCTCTCTCACCTTGGGGCTGTTCCCTTTGCCTGGACCCTCTCTCTTCATCTGGCTAATTTCTATCTGACCCATCACTTTTGCTGAGCCATCTCTTCCTGACAGCTCTTCAGGACCAAGCAGGTCTGCACTGGTGTTGTTCCGCATGTTTCGCAGGTCCCTGAACCTCTGCCATCACAGGGGGACAGCACACTATCAAATCGTCTGTGTCTGTTGGTTTCCCTTTTGATATTGTAAGCTCTGTGAGCATAGTGACTGAGCAGCAGCCATGTCTGTTTAGTTCACTCTTACATCCCTGTTGCTGAGAACAGGGGCTTGCACTTAGCAGGCACCTGTTGAGTAAAAGCAGTAGCACACGTGTATACTGCGTGCACTGCGGGGAGCTCTGACCAGGAACTAGAGACCTGGATTCTAATGCCCATTCCGTCTCTTAGCAGTGGCAACTCAGATCCCTCATTTCAAAGACTAGGAAGAGATGCCTCTCAGGGCTGCATGGATGTGGAACGTACATACATGCAAGTGTGCTTTGTGATTGTGAATCATGACCTTGCCCAGCAGTGTAGGAATCCTGAGTGGGTGTGATGAACTGCGAGGTGGGATTGCATGTTGGAAGCAGCAACCACAGACAATAATGATGTGTATCATCCTTTCAGGGTAACAAAGAATCAGAGGGGTCCTTGCAAGTCCATGGTCGAGGATACACAAGACAGTTGCTCAGTTTCTCATCTTCAATGGAATGACAAGGATGGGGGAATTGAGGTAGAATCTCATACCACTGCCAAGACCATCTCCTGGGAGAACCCCATCCTGCCCTTGGTGTGTCAGGCAGAGATACAAGTCATCACTGGGGGAGCCTGGGTCTGTCCCAGGGCAGTTAGAACCACAGACAATTTGCTGGGGGCCATGGGCAGTGGCTGCTTCAACCTAGGGTGCAGTAATTTAATGCCATGTTAAATTTAATTTAACACTTGTGTGCTAGTGTT